GAGATCCATGAGCTTCACACAAAACGTAAAAACACTAAAAACAATATTTATACAGTTTGCTACGATCAAGGGTGTAGCTTTGTAATGAAAGCTGGTGGTGGTGGGGGGGCCTCTAAGGGTGGGGGATGATGGATTTTCAGCTACTCCACCCGAACGCTTTCATTAGGTTGTTAGATTTTCTAAAAATGAGCTCAAACATCTATTTATTGAATGTTTTTCTATTGTAAGAACACAATAAAACTAGAATACACTGATATTTATATTTATAGGTAATTAGAGAGATGCTAAATATTAATGTATAAAAAAATAACAGCCGATTCCGATGCCAAAATCAATAAATCATGACCCCCCCCAGCCCCCCCCCCCCAGTAATTGACATTTATGCACTATTTTTGCACGCTACGCAACACTTTACTTGGATTTTCACTTTACTTGGATTTAGTTTTTACATGTGCATAGATATATGTACAGACATATATACAGAAGAGCTATATGTATATATATTTTACCTAATTTTATTCTTATTTTTTTATCTTTATTATATTGTATAGTTGGATGTGTGTATATATTATATATAAAACTGTAACTGGAGCGTGTAATAAAAGTAATCTCCCTCTGGGATTATTAAAGTATTTCTGATTCTGATCCCTAGAAGTAGAATATAAATTCAGTTAATCCAGAAAAATCTGGATTTGCTGCATTTTAAATATAGCATAGAATACTTTTTTTGTTGTAAAACTTTGATAAACTGATATATTTTATTTCATGTTGCATATCCCAGTAAATCTGTTTCCCCTTTGAATCTGCAGCTCTCCCTGCTTCTCAGGGTTTATGCAGGAAGAATTAACTCTAATTTAACGCTCTTAGAAATCATTTTAAATGCCATCAACAGGTACCATCACTCTCGTCTAAATATATATATATATTTATATATAATCGTTCGTCATCTTTTGTTGACACTTTTGTTGAAATTTGCATTTTCCTATTCTCTAGCTTTCTCTCCGCCTCAAACTTCTTTACTGAACATACGGCTTTACGATCAACCAGAAGCAGTTCCACTCAAGCAGGCAGAATCAGATATATCTGTATCTGTATATTTTCTTTTCTATTTCAAGAATAAAGTCGTAAAATTATGAGAATAAAGTCGTGGCTGCCATGGTCCATGTGTGGTCATGCAGACTGGGTGATCTGGTGAACTGTAAAGTGACTTTAGATGACATATAGATGGCGCTATATAAATAAACTGAGTTGAATTGAATTGAATCTGCTTAAAATTGAACAGATTCCTTCCAAACGCATCAACTGAGCTCTACGCTGCTTTGAAATCCTCCCAATCTGCTGCAGGAAACATCTGAGTTTCTCAAAGACAGAAAGGCAGCTGAGGCTTTGAAGCTCTGAGGAGGAACCTGGAGGAATCATCACCCTGAAGTTCTCCTTACTATAACTTACAGTCTGACCAGAACCAGAGGGTTCTTCTTCTACCTCCTGTCGTCGTGCTCTGTACCTCTGCTGAGCGTGGCTCCGTTCTCCTGGTAGTCCTGAATCTCTTCGTCCTTCCTGAACAGCAGATCCTCCAGCTGCTCCACGTGGCTCTGCAGCAGGCGGCTCATGGCCAACAGGGGGCGCACCAGGTGGGCGCACACCTGAGAGGCAGAGACATGCTTAGATCTTAGAAGAGCAGCAGCCGGGGTCCCGATGGGGGTCCCGATGGGGCGACGCGTACCAGAGCAACAGGAGCAGGGCTGCAGCGGAACTCCCAGTAGAAAGGAAGCCCCGCCAGCTCGCTCTTCAGCCTCAGGGTCAGGTCTCCATCCTGCTGGCGGTTCACAGACATCTGGACCTCACCACCGGTTTGTTGACCTCCTGACAGGCAGGGCTGCGCCACCTCACACAGGTGGGAGAAGAATGCCGCGGCGGACGCTCGCAGACGCCGGTTCAGCTCCTGGAATAGCAGAACCGGATTAACCGGGCCGGTTCAGATGAGGCTCCATCATCTGCGTAGGGGTCGACGTACCTGCGATCGTTTCTCTACGGCCGCCGCTTCGATCTTCTCCTCCCAGACGCTCTGCATGTCGGTCAGCAGGATACGGTACGCCGTCTCTCCGAACCAGGGCTTAGACAGGAGCTGGACGCCGTCGATGGTGACAGGAAGCCAGGGATGTTGGAGGAGTGCGTCCTCAGCAGGATCAGCTTGGGGATTCATCTGAGAGGAGGAAGACTAGTTATCATCACCATGGGAACAAATCCAGATGCTACAGATGCTCATCTATGGTGGAAACATGCTGGGGAAAACATCCAAATGTTATTATAGTGTGAATATTTTTGTACATGACATGTTAATCATACAATTGTAATTTTCATTAAAAATATTGTTATATTAGAGTTAAAAAGGGTGAAATCTTCCTGTTTAAAGCCAGTTTAACTTTGATCCTGGAAATCCTGGAGATCTCAAGCCAATCCTGGAAGTTTGCTTTAGATCCTCCAGATTTCAAACAAGTAAATTAAATATTTCTCGTTATAAACACAGGTTGTGTTATAAAGGATTTATTCATCATTTAGAAAATAAAAACACAGACTGTTTTTTTTTTTTTTTTTTTTGTTTTGTTTGTTTGTTTGTCTTTATAAAAAGGGAAACCTAAGGGAATGGGAAAAGTCCTGGAAAAACGAATCACCAACCATGCTTCATTTAAAAATCTCAGAATTTTAATATTTACTCTTTTATCTGTAAATATAATTCACGTAGAATTTTTACTGAATAAAATTAAATTAAATGAATGCATATCTATAAATCGGCATCAGTTTCTCTATCATTATTAATGCCTTTTATGGAAAAACGATCCACATTTCAGGTTCAAAACACCAAAAAATGACCTGCCTTTTTAAATTGACCGGAAGCTAATGTTAGCTGCTATTTGCTTGAAAAAGTAACCAGACGTACCTTAAAAGATCATCTGCTAAAATGGTTAATTACGTCTTAATGTAGATTAATAAACTCGTTAAAACAAGGCTATAAAATATTAAAATAAATGACTAAAGTTTCCAAAACAGCCTCAACTCCGTAGCAGGTTGTCCCGGACAATTTCCTTCACCGGTATGAAACACAAAAACCCGAAATAATGGTTCCGCTTTTAATAACATTGAGGCTTTACCGCCACCTGCTGGTTTGAAATGTGGATTGCAAAAAAATATCTGTAACATCCATCCATATATATATATATAAATATATATAGTAAAAATATTGTTAGATACTGTAAAAACATCCCCCGCTGTATAGGCTTATCTATTCTTCAGATGCACAGTATTTACATTTTTAAAAACACTTTTAAAAACATTTTTAAAAACACAGTATTTTATTTTTTTTTTTTTATATTTTATTTATTTATTTTTTATATTTTATGTAAATGTTATTTTTACCCATATTTGAGCAGTTTTTCTTATTTACACAGTCAAATGTTTTACTTATTTATTTTTTGCTTGACAATTAAAATTGGATTGGATATTTTTTGTTTTTAACTCTTTCACTTATTCTATTTTTTGTTTTGTTTTTTCTATTCTATGTGGTGTATATCTGTTGTTTATCTCCCAAAGCACAGAAGTTCTCCCTCCAGCTCTGACGTCACCAGTCCCCTAGGGGGCTCCGTACCAGTCTGTTGATTTAAACAGAAACACTCTGCAGTGCTGAGCATAGATATCCATAATAATTATTATGGATATCTATGGTGCTGAGGCATCAACCTGCCTAGGGGAGCGGGACGACCTCCCCAAGATGGCGCCCATAATTCCTGCTCCACGACTTTTATATAAACTTTATGGACACGATCGCTCTCGGTTTCCGTAGTGCCAGGCTTTGATTGGGGATTATAAACGTTATGGGCGCGTGCTAAAAGTCATGTGACGTATTCTGGAGAAACAGAAACTCAGGCTGCTCCCTGTTGACTCGCAGGTAGGCAGCTGCTTCATTCAGTCTGCAGGCTGTGATGGAAGGAGAACAGAGAACAGCTGCTGGCTGTGCAGCAGGTAGACCAGAAAGCAGGTAATTCACGCACTCATTGCCTGAAGCTCTGCTGCTCCTGTACTGATTTAAAAATTAACATGTTTAAACTTTAATGTCCTCCTAGGGTTATTCTCAGTAGGGATTGACATTTTTTCTCAGGCATCTAAGGAGCTTTAAAGGCTGCAAAGTTACAAACAGGATGGGTGTTTAGATGGGTATTGCTGTAAATAATTACTCGAGTTTTAATGTTTATCAATATCTGCTGTGAAAAATGTTGACTATTGAATCATTTGGCTCCAAAGCTTTCCCTCTGAGGTCATCTTTAGGTCTCTGATGTGGCAGGTAGCCTACATTTAGAGACTTTTAAAAAATGCACCAGAGACATCGTTGTTGTCGTTAGGTTGGTTAATTAAGCGTTTATAACTGGTAACAGTGGCGCCTCCAGAAATGTTTCATGGGGGGCCAGATGGTAGCCTG